TACAGCAGGAAGTCGTGCATTCAAATTATTCCTTTTTTTTTTAAATTCAAGCAAAATAATATCAGTTAAATGTATGAAAAGCAGCAGTAGTTTGCTGTTATTTTATATGTGTAGCGTAAATAAAGCTGCAAAGATAGAAATAGAAAATATTTTGTAGAGTAAACATACTGTTATAACAAGATAAGCTTTTAATTGTCAGAAGGGCACAGCACAAATATTTAAGAATATATCAGCAGAAAAATAAAGTCGTTTAGATTATCCTGCACGTGGATATAATAATATTGCACATATCAACGGTCTTGCATGGATTCTTTTATGAGTAGAAATACCGACAGAGAAGCGTTTTTATTGCACAGATCTTATCTACGTTGCACAGACTTGTCGCTAGAAAAGTACTGATAACTGTATTTTCTATATTGCAGCGGGTCAGCGGGCTGAAATGTAAAGCTGCTGTAATTTAACGCTACGCTACGCTAACGAGGTGATGACAGAACGGCGCTCGGCGTTTCCAGGGAGCTCGTGTTAATCAATACCGGCCTCTTCCCGTCCTTTTTCTTCACTTCTTTCCCTTCTTGTAATTCTATTCTCTGCTCCCCTTCCTGCCTCCCTGCTCGGGAGTGATGAGAGATTTAACACAGTCGAGTGGCAGAGCTCGAGCCCTCCGAGCAGCTTTTCCAATAGCCCTGATATATATATATATATATATATATATTTATATATTTATATACGAGGCTTTCTTTCCGCAGGACCGAAGGGCATTCTGGGGCACAGCGCATAAATAAATGATGCAATCAGTCCACAGTGCATTTGGTGTAAAAGTAGAGTCCTCTACACTTCAGTCCAAAATGGTTTCCTCTCCTGTGTACTTTTAAAAGGACGAGAGAGGAAAAGAGAAACAGAGAGCGAGGCCACGACCAGCACAGACTAGTCTGACTCACCGGATGTAGACTTTGGGTATAAAGTGTTTCACCTTTTATGACTTTTCAGCGTTGAATCGTGGTTGATTTGACTTTTCGACACGTTTTTTTAAAAAAAGACTTCAGATTTTTGCAAAGCATTGCCAACTAATGATAAAAAATAAAGTAGAATAAGTGATTGCATAAAGATTCCTCCCCTTTAAAGTGACCACAGTGAGTGAAATGGATCATCTGTGAATGAGTCTCAGTGATTGTGTTATAAAGACTGGTGTATCTGGAAGGTCCAGTCACTGGTGGATCAGAACTCCTGGATAGAACCACACCACGAAGACTGAAGAACACTCTGAGAAAAGGCTGTTGAGAAGCATCAGTCAGGGGACGATACAAGAACATGTCCAAGTCACTGAACATCTCTGGAGTCCAGTTAGATCCATCATTAAGACCTGGAAGGACGATGGACCATGACTAGATCTGACCAGAGCAGGACATCCTCAGAGACTGAGGGAAGGAAACTAACGAGGGAGGCCACCAAGACTCCTGTGACTCCTCTGAAGGAGTTTTCTTTACAAATCTACCAAACAGATCTTCACCATTCATCCTCTGTGAGTTCTATCATGTTGTTTAATAATGACTGAGGTCCCTGAACCCCCCACAAGACATTTACACAGATTTTGTGCGACGACATCGAGCGATGAGTCGAACAGATGTGAGAACAAGCAGTAGAAATGTTCACCGCTTCCCTCTGCTCACGTGTGCTGCTTGCAAACAAGCGTTTAATGAAGAATTACTTTTGACGGTGCTCGTGTCAGTCTGTCTGCATAAAGAAATGACAGCACGAGTGACTGAATACATGTGAACTGCAGAGATAATAAAGAAGCTTTCCACCCACTGCGGTTTCAGCCTGGACACTGTGTGACAGCGATGAGGACGCACAGCAAGAACAACAGCAGCTACCATTATTCTGTCAACGTTACCACAAAATAGGTGTCTTCTTCCACTAATCACGGTGGTGTGGTTGTCCACGCTGAACTGGGTTCTGTCCACGTATACGTTACACGTTGTTCTAACTGTCAGCGTGTTTTGACCTTGGAATAACCCTCAAGGTCAGAAGTCACATCCTCAGTTTGAAGCCTTTATCCGGTTTCCGATACAACCGGTGCGTCTATGTTGCACCATTTTGCAGATGAAATGCATGACTTTGAGTTTGACCTTGAAATCCGTTCCAAGGTCAAACGTGACATCTCCAACAGAAAGCCCCAACATGGCCGCTCATCTGCTCCAAACACCGTAAATCTACCTCCAGCCCTTTGAAGGGTTTGAAGTCGTGACCTTTGACCTCCAGCGGAGCTACTTTTGCACCGATTGACCCCAAAATCCGATCGATCCGAGGAGCGGCGGTCCCTAGCTCACCTGTAGAACACCAACCTCAGCGCTCGAGCTACAGGCTGATCACAGACACACAGATGGGACTGGAGAGTCTATAGTTGCCCCCAGTTAGAGGCAACTATAAGGACATCCAGTAACACTGATGTACACGAGGTTAGAGAAAGAGGGAAGTGATGCCTCTGACTGTGAAGCTTAAGATGCCACAGACGTCCTAGAAACAGCAAAAAGCTCCTCCAGCTGCACCGCCGCCCTCCTGGACGGACAGGTGAGGTGGACGGACAGGCGAGGCGGACGGACAGGTGAGGCGGAAGCACAGCGGCCGATCAGCTACGTTTGCTAGTCTACTGCAGAAGCTGCCTGTGAAACCGCCGCTAAGGTCGGCAGCCATGTTGGTTCCTCAGGCGGCGCCTCCACCGCCTGAGGAAGTCATGACAGGTGAGCACTTACCTGCTCCCCATCCTTCTGGACTGGCACGCCGTCCGCCGCTAGAAGCACCACAGAAGAAGAAGAAGAAGAGAGAAAAGAGAAAGATGATCAGATTTTAATGTTAAAAAAAAGACATAAAACTCTGCTTAAACTCAAAAAAAGGAGATCAGCATCATTCATGCTGTCAGCTGCCATAATATGGATCATCTGATTATCGGATAGAAAATTCAGGGTTTTTTTCCAAATATCTTTAATTTTCTTAACTTGCTTCTGATAAAAATAAATTTAAAATTGCTCTATTTTCACTTCACCAAAAAACAATAATAATAATAAATAAATAAATGCAGGAATACGATAACGTTTAAAAACTATATATCTAAAAAAAAAAATTGTAATTGTGATATTTTTAGTGGATTTAAATACAGTACAAGGGAAACTTTACAGTCAAACATTGTAAAAGAACAAATTAGAATTTGTTAAAACTGTTGTTTGTTTTCAGTTTTCACCTGTTTTGGAGTTTGTTTTTTTGACTTACAAGTAAACTCATATATATATATACATATATGTATGTATATATATCTTTTAAAAGACATGAAAAAAAAGTCCTGCATGCAATAAATTATGTTAAAAATATGACAAATGATCACTGTTACTATTAAGCTGTAAAATCAACAGATAACTCAAATTATAACTCATCAGCGTCTGATCGAAGAGAATTAAGACGAGGAGACGTCTTAACGAAGTCGGACAAACAGAGAGACACCAGACGTCAACAACCAGCTCGAAATCAGTAAAACAGCATCAGCTGCCATCTGAAGAGGAAAACTCCTCCATCAAGAACCACAAAGACAGAAAACTGAGCTCATGATGGAAGAATACTAATTATTATTCAAAGCTGCAGCACTTTACATATAACAGCAAACACGATCTGCGAAAAGTTTCCCTGAAACAACCAAACCAGCCGCCGTGAGAAAACTCCAAACACATGGAGAAGAATTTCCTCTAATTTCCATCTGGAACGTACTTCAGCACACTGATGGTCCATGAACGAACCCATCTGGTGTCAAAACACGCTATAAATCACATTAGGCCGTATTAAACGCTGGCAGCTAACGCGTGCAGCCGTCGGGTATCTACACATGGAGATCATCTTCATGTTTTCTGGGTTTGATCGACTCTGATCACGTTCGTGTCATTTTATGATTTCCCCTCCCAGCACCACCAGTACATCCAGTTAGCCTCGGCTTCTATCAGCCAGCTGCAGCTTTTTACTCCAGAAGACAATAACTGTGATGTAGTTGAATTTCCAGGTACTTGTGCTTCATTTCCATTTTCAGCTGCTTCATACGCCCACTTCTCCACATTCCTGAGGGGAGTAATGCACTTTTTCCTCCACTACATTCATCTGACATCTACAGTTACATCCCACAGTATGGTTTTACATAAAGGCAGACATCCAGCTTTCTAAAGTCCAAACTGTTTCCAGCTCATGAATGGTGTCATTTGGGTGATTTTTTAAAAGTTTTTTGGGTTCAGAGGGCGAACGTGGGTACAAATTTCCTATCAAACCTAAAACTATTGTTTCTGATGAGTGTAAAATAAAGTCTGTGTTTAGTTTTTGAAGCAGCTGCTGTAACTTAAAGCTGAACCTGATATAAACATGTTTTTTTAAATCTCACATTAAGTCAGTAAATCTGTATAACTAATTGTTTTTCTTTTCTTATTTNACAGTCAGTGGGTCCAGAAGTGATTCACTTTGTTTGCTTTGAGTTTCTGCTTTGGAGGCTGAATTTTTAATATTGTCTTTTTCCAGAGTTTGCTTTTGTTCATCAGAGAAAACATTCTGCTGTCCTGCGTTGACATAATGCCGCTACTGAGAGGCGGCACAGTGTAGAATATATACTGTACTCACTGCTGTCACTATAACAGCTGGATTTTACCAACACAACTGCACTAAAAAGAAAGAAAACACTTCTTCACTAAACTGCACTGAACTCCGTTTCACACGGACACACATCCACAAGTTCACAACCACTGAACACACAAAAGTCTACACTCACCTCAGAGCAACAAGCTGTATGAGGATGCACTGTGTGTGTGTGTGTTTGTGTTTTTAAAGCTGAGTTCTTTCCATCAATGACTCATGAGGAGCCATTGACAACAGTGTGGAGAGGAAGTGATTCAGGGGAACCCGGAGCGGGTACCATGCTGACTCCCGCTGTGGGCGGAGCCAGCATGGGGTCGGTTACCAGTTACAGCACAGACACACACCTGACACACCTGACAGAGAAGACTTAGCCAGAGCTCCGATGCCGTAGGCGTTGGAGTTCCTCTTGAGCCGGGGCAGGATGGACGTGGTGTCTTCCATGGACAGCTGCGGGAGAGAGGAGAGAGGGATGGAGGAGGGCGGCGTGGACGGAGTGACACGAGGACATCCGGCAGGTGAGTGTCAGACAGGTGAGTGGACAGGACAGGTGATGGAGGGTTAATACAAAAAAAACCCCAACAACCTCGACATCATCAAACCTGCACCAATAAGTGTCTCTGACTGTGCTCGGTAAAAAAAAACAGACCCTGCAGGATCGACTGTAGGAGGTGGAGGGCGACTTAAATCAAAACCAACAGATAGAGAAGGCAAACGTGTGAAGGAATGACGCCACGACACTTACATTAATTCCTTCCCATGAAAATTCTGAGCGTCCATGCTGAGGAAGAGAAAGGAGGAGAGAGGGATGGAGAGAGTGAGAGAGACAGAAACATCCACATGCATCGAGGAGGAAGGAGGAGGAAGGAGAAGGAAGGAGAAGGAGGAGGAGGATTGAATCCACAGCAGACATGCAGAGGGAGAAATTAAGGAGAAATAAAGAGCGACAGGATTTTCCAGGAAAGGCAACAGTCAGTGAGCAGGATGACAGGGAGGAGGGAGGGATTAGACAGGGATCAGTTCATATTTGCTTAGTTATGTATAGCAGAGTGAATGTGCTACGGATGAATGAGTTTCCTCTTCGGTTACATGTGCTGCCAAAAACACTGAAAAGCCAGCGGAAAATAGTGCGCGAGAGAGAGAGAGAGGGAGGGATGTGAGGGCAGAGCTGCATCTGATGCTGCAGACAGACTGAATGAGTTCGTGTGAAGGCAGAAGCAGATAAGAAACAATCCTATCAGCCGGACTGTCTCTGGCTAAACTGGGAGCGCTGGTGGGCTGCCGACATGTTTTCACCGTCCTGTCCGAGTGCAGAGACCGTGGAAGTAACCAAAGATTCGTCCCTAACATGCACCAGTTGTTCATGTTTTCAAGCCCGTCACAAAGACGCAGCTTCAACCCTCCGAACCCCAAAAACCCACTGCTAAGTTTAAATGGCATGTTTTATTTCTTTTTTAAAAATCACCAAAATTACACCATTTATCCGCCTGACGCTGTACAAACAGAAAAAATTCACTGGATTTTTAGCTTTCCGACGGTCCTTGAACGTATCCTATCTGATGTTTATTTTCATCAGAAAATTTAGCCACATTTGCAATTAAAAGTTGCGTTTTTATTTCATCACAACCACTTCGCCCTGTATCTGTCGTTCAAAAAAATCGACAAAAATAAAGGAAATAGTTGGAGGATACATGCCGCTGATGAGCAGAGAAAACGTCTGTAGAGGCTGGAAACATGGAGATAGTTCAACATCTACAGTATGTCGAGACAAGACAGTCAACACAAAAGAAAAATCACATACAAAATGATAAAACACAGATTCAACACAACAGAATCGAGACACAAAGCCACAAAAACAAGATATGAAGAAAACAGATAACTCCATTTCTGTAAGTTTTCAGAAAACTCATTTTGTTGTTGTTTGCTTGAGACAATATCAACCAAACTGAAGCTGAGTGGATCTGACTCAGTAGAAATGACAAAAGTAGAGATAACTTCAGTTTGATTGATATTGTCTCAGGTAGACGATGGAAACATGGGTTTTCTGAAGGTTTTCTGAAGGTTTTCTGAAGGTCTTCATATAAAATGACCAAAAAAAACTGAAAGAAAAACTAAAAAGATGACAAAACGATACAAATGAGATGGAAAATAACAAAAAGGAGACACAAAGAGACACATAAAATGACCAAAAAGAGACACAAAACAGTTGAAAAGAGACCAAACTGTCCCTCGGAGTCTGTAAAACTGTAAATAGTTAAATATCTACAGTTTGTGGAGACAAAACAGTCACAAAGAGAAACAACACAAATGAGATGTAAAAGGAAAATCAGACAAAAATGACAAAACAGACTCACAGACTTCTGTTTTCACATCTTCTGGCTGATAAATGGTGTCATTTTAGCCTTTCAGCCCTTCTGGAGGGAGACTAGAGACTAGAAACCTCCTGTAGAGGCTGTAAAACATCTGGGGACACCACACATGTTGATTTTGTGCAATAAGCAATCGAAGAAATTCAGTTTTTTTCTTTCTGATTTCCATCATTCTGTGTCCTGCTGACCTTCTCTCTCTGTCTTCATGTTGTTTTGCTTCTGTAGAGCTGCAGGACTTTGTGTTGCAGTGAGTGAACACGCTGATAGTTCAGAGAAGAGAAGAGATCGACTTCCCCAACGTTGTTTTTAGTTTGATTGTTTTCTTGCTGAACCCGTTTTCTCCTCCAAACTTCGGTGCTTTTGTGAAAACCATCATCCTCACATCTTTCCTGGGCTGCAGCACAAACACTGAAACACGAGGGAAGCGTCCGGCCCGGTTCTGTCCAGAGATCAAACTCCACCTCTCTAATCAACACACGAATAACGTCGACTCTCCCGAATTCTGAGAGTTTTCTGGACGTCCAGCAGAGACTCGAGGACGTTTCCGTGACTGCCAACCAACAGTCTGGCGCGAAAACCCGGCAAAACCCAAATGTGACGTTTCTACACTTTGGATTTTTATCAAACAAAGAAGACATATTGTGTTACTGGGTGAGCTTTACGTGGATTTTACTACCTTTGGAAAGGCTC